GGGTTGGCTATGAGTCGGGTCTGACTTGATGGCACATAACAGCAACAACAACAACGTAACTGTATCTCAGTCATTCACTGAAGCGTTATTTACATATACTAAAAAAACCTTAAAATAATGAGTATTTTTTAATCCATTGGAACACGGTTAAGTAATTCATGGGATAACCATTCACTGGAATACATAGCAGCTAAAAAAATGAGGTAAATGTATGTGTAAGATCATGGAAAGACAAATCAAGATAAAATGTTAAATAAAAAAAGTTGTAAAACAACATGATCCCACAATGTGGAACAAAACTCAAAATCATTTGGAAAAAAAAAGGGGGGTGGGGGACGACCAGGTTTGCTGGTCTGATAGAGCCTGGTGGAACCACTGAGACTATGGCCCCTAGGTGCCCGTCAGGTCTGGAATTGAACGCACACCTGTGGCTTCCAGCCAAACAAAAGACAGGAATATGAGTTGAACATTTACCTCAGGTAGATACACTCCTTGGAGAGAACAATCATGGGAGAAAGAAGGGCTGCTTATACACAGGGAGACAGCTCAGGGGGCAGGAGTGCATGGAGGGATGGACACAGAGAAGAGGTAACTATCGGGAGGAAGTGGGAGGGGAGCTGTTGCATTGGGGTAAATTGTAGTCAATGTCATGAGACAAAGTGTATGTGAACTGCTGAATGGAAAGTGAATTTCACTCTGTAAACTTTCACCCAAATCACAATAAAGAAAAAAACAACCCAAAAACAGTATGATCCCATTTTGATAAGTGTTACAGTATTACAGGGATGGACAGATATAAATAAATGAAAAGATATCTAAGGCTATTTTCACACAGTAGAATTGAAGATGACCATTTATCTTAGGGTGCCTGGGATAATTTCATTTTATGTCTTTGTCCTGTCCTAACTTTTAACTGCAACTCCTTTCATCCTCAAGTTCCAATTTAGACGACACATTTTTATGATCACTAATTATTAGGGCTATGGTAGTGTAGTGCTTAAGGCACTTGACTGCTAACCAGAAGGCTGGTGGTTCAAACCCACCAGCCACTCCTCGGAAGGAAGATGGGGCAATCTACTTCCGTAGTGATACTGCCTTGGAAACCCAAGGAGAGGTCACTATGAGTCGGGTCCGACTCAAGGGCACATAACAACAACATTAGGGCTTTCCTGATACTTTAAAAAATTTTGCATCAGGCTGTGAAACCAATCAAATATGCTGAACTGTTGTGAGTAAAATGAATCTGCTTTGTAAATTTGCACCCAGGCCACAATTAAAAAAAAAAAAAAATTTGTATCAATATTCCACAAGGTATGTTTTATTTTAGAGTTGGGAAATAAAACTATATACCTCCAAATATTAAAAAACAAAACACAACAACAGTAGTGTTATTTTTAAAAGTAGGGTAGGGCATTAGCTAAGACCGGGTACTTTGGCTGTGTCAGATTTCTCATGAGACCCTAAGCATTTCAGTGCCTTTGTTTACATGGTTTTGTCTAGACTGTCAGCCTCCCACGTTTTTCATAGCTCCTGCTCCTTTATGTCTACGTTCAAGTATAACCATTTATGAATTCTTCCTCAATCTCCAACCTGCTAAAATAAATTCACAGCTTCCTCACCTGTGTTCACAGTACTTTGTTCATACCTTTATTATAAACCTATCCCAAGGTATGGTTTCCCCAATTAGACTGTGAGTTTCTTGAGAGTGGGAATCATTCATTTATCCATCTACCTAGTTCACAGTAAGGAGCTCTGATGGCACAGTGCCTAAGGCATCTGACTGCTAACCAGAAGGTTGGTGGTTCAAACTCACCAGCTTCTCCACGGAAGGAAGGCAATCTACTTCCATAAAGACTTATCGCCTCGGAAACCCAATGGGGGTCACTCGATGGCAATTAGTTTGGTTTGGTTTGAGTACATAGTAGAGGAAACATTCAATAAGTGTGTGTTCAATGAATAAAACAATTCTTTGTTTTGCTTATTTTCTTAACAACTCAGTATTCACTTACTGGGTTCAGAACTCCCAAAGCTCTTGAAACAATTTATATCAGCTCTTGGCATCAAGATCCTCTTCCCACTACAAGACTGAGTAACTACTGGTACCATTTAAAACTCATTCTATTCATTTTTTACTAGTTCTGTAGGCTTATCTCTATTGTCCTCTTCACCCAATACTTAAGAGAAGCCTCCTGGATACCTAATGGTATGGGTTAAATGCTTTTGTGCTTAGAAATACACCACTTCCAAATTTTACTACAAGATGACTGACAATGTCATTTTCATATGTGAATAAGAGCACATTATGAAGAATGCAGAGTGGTTCCTGAAAACTTGCTGCTTATAAAGAACTTATGCTTTAACACAACGGCAAAACTCAGGAGTCTTGCTTCCCATGAATCAGATGATTAATTTTCCTACTGAAGAAAACCAGAGTGTGTACTCTTCTTTTGTTAATTATGCCCCTAGCAATTGATACTTTGAGGGGATGCTGAATACATACCCTCCATAAACTCACCTATCCCCTTATTCCCATCTCTAGCTATAAAGAAGTATAAATATTCTCTTATGTGTGCATGCCATGATTTTATTACCAGGAATTAGCCTTTATAGACAACTGGCTCTGCTATTATTCACTAAAAAAGGACTAGGGCTCAACTACTTTCTAAACCGAAGATAATTTAGGTAGACATATTAAAATTTTAACTGTTTTACAACTAACAATCCTAAACAGCAATTTAATTAAGTGCAACCAATTTATACTGCAGAATTATCAGAAGTTAAACTGCACAAAGTAAGATTTTATGTGGGTGCTTTCCTGAGACTTATTTTATGGCTAAGATGAAGGTTTAAAGCATTTCTGGAGACAAACTAATAGTGGCCAAACTTTAAACACACTGCCTTCTGAAGAAAAACCTGATGCTACATGTTATGCTTCCTGGGTCATCTGTGGATGCTTCTATTTAAGCATCTATTTCAACAAGGACCCTCAACTTCAAAATAAGGTATCACTGCTACTCCCAGGGCATTCCAGGCACTTGCCACTGTCATTTAACCATCCAAAGCTAAACTATGGGAAATAATACTTAGGGTAAATTGTCTAAACATCTAATTCCTTTCCTCTAGACCAGTTGTGTCTAAATTTTTTGACTATGTAATCCTATTGACAAAGTATTTTTGAGCACAAGTTGCTAAAACAGATATTTATTTATAAATTGCTACTACTATACTCGTATATGGGAGCTATGGTGGCGTAGTGCCTAAGGCATTTGACTGCTAACCAGAAGGCTGGCAGTTCAAACCCACCAGCCACTCCTTGGAAGGAAGGTTGGGCAATCTACTTCTGTAGTGGTACCTTCTCAGAAACCCAAGGAGCGGTTGCATGAGTTGGATCCGACTTGACGGCAGTGAGTTTGGTTTTGTACTTGTATATTATAATACATACACTAACGTACAAATTTTGAAACTCTACCCACTGCCACTGAGTCAAATCCCAATTCACATAGACCCTATAGGACAGAGCAGAACAGCTCCATAGGGTTACCAGGGCTGTAAATCTTTACAGAAGCAGACTGCCTCATATTTCTCCCATGGGTTCAAACTGCCAAACTTTTGGTTAGCAGCCAATGCTTTAACCACTGCTCCATCAGTTCTTATAAATTTTACAATTTTATGGATTTTAACTTGGAGAAAAATGAAATTCTAGTATTTTTCTTTCTACCCTCCAATGGATTATTTTGTAAGCATTCTTCTTTGGAGAGGACATTTATAGGCACTCTCCATTTTATTACTGGTGAAGGCAACTGTTTGCATTTGTTGACCCCTGAAAACTGCCTTTTACTGAACTTCTGAAACTGAGAAATGTTATAATAGCCTCATGGGGGTTATTACTGAACCTATTGTAGGTAGCGTAGTGCCTAAAGCACTTGACTGCTAAGCAGGCGGCTGGTGGTTCAAACCCACCAGGCACTCCTCAGAAGGAAGATGGGACAATCTACTTCTGTAGAGATATCACCTTAGAAACTCAAGGAGGGGTCGCTATGAGTTGGATTCAACTCAATGGCACTTAACGACGACTGTAAGGCTGCTGTTGAGGACTCTCTGTTATAATGCAGTGCCTTCTTTATAAGGACACAGAGAAACTTCTTAGATTTTAGTACCAGAAATATCTGTAATGCTTCTGAAAATTTATATTTATTTTTTTTATATTACTGACTCATGTTGTTAGGTGCTGTTAGTTTTGACTCATAGCGACCTCATGTGAGAGCAGAAGTAATTGCCCAGGTTTTCCAGGCTGTACTCTTGTGGCAGCAGATTGCCAGGTCTTTCTCCTGTGGAACCATTGGGTGGGTATGAACCACCAACCTCATGTAATTGACCACAAATTTCTAGCAACACTAACTGCAGGAAAATACAAAGCCAATTTGTGTCCACTTCTAGTAAGTATATCCACAAGGTATATTTATCTTCCCTTTGGCTTCAACTTGTTTTTCCTTCCATCACACAATTCATTTATTTTTTAAATCATGTAGCTCACTCATGGTTTCATTTTAATTTTCTATTACTCTCATTTCTTCATCTACTTTTTAAAAAATCAAACTGTATTATTTGTATGCTATATGTATGAATGAAGGTGTTTTAAAAGTATTTCAAATATCTCTTGAAAGACAGGGAAGAATGAATAAAGAAAAAAAAGAAGCAATTATAGTACAGAATGGAGGTCATTTTAAACTTGAAGCTCCCCTGTGCCAGCAATACTGTATATTCTGAAGCATTTAGCAGCAAAGCCCTTCATCCAAAGAGTAATTCGAAAATGGGCGTTGATGAAAAGAATGACAACTCACAATAGCGCTGTACTACACTTTCTCACTCTTTTCCAGTTGGTTAATAAATGTTATAGTGAAGAAAGGGCAAGTGGCTTTTTTTCACCTGTGTGCAAAGCTTAACTAAAAAGTCCATGAAAAGGGCAGTCACATTGCCAGATGGAATTTGTAGCCATGTACCTGGATGTTTTTCCTTCTGGTGTGCTCAGCAGTCATATGGAAATGACCTGTGTTCACTGCTTTCTTGCTCAGCTTGCACCGCTTCTCAAGGCATCTCCTTTGTTGGTTGGTGATACTGCTATATAATTTAATTTGCCTAGGTGACAAACATACTCTTTCATGGCCAAAAGCTTGAATCAATCGGGCAGTGTCAATGGTGGAAATGGAGCTGCTCCTCTCATGCAAGGCCACCTCTTTATCTGTTTGGGTCAGACCCTCTGATTCCACAGGAGAAGTAGTGGTGGAAAAGATGTTGGTAGCAGTATCTGTGAGCAGCTCACTCTCCTCTGAAGGGCAAGAATATGAAGAAGTGTTACTTAAATAATTAAAACCTGGCTGTTTTCTCAGGATATACTTATTAAATTTAATATGCTCAAATTTAATCTGATTTGGTCCCCCAGCTTGATGAGTAGACAGTATGTCGCCTTTTTTAAGATCTTCCATGTTTCTGTGGCATTTCTCTAGGCCTTTATACCTCTTCTTTTTCTGAAGTTTGTTTTTCTGCTGTTGCTGTCTACTGTTCCATTCCTGAACAACTTGCTCCTCTCTGCTATCATCATGTGTACTTTCAGAGGCCTGGAGAGAATGTGTGATGGGATTCTGAAGAAGTTTAGCCAATCGATCAAGTCGCTCCACCAAGGAGAGTTCTTTCTTGTCACCAAACTCAGGTTTCTGTTGTCTCTGTTGTTCCTGATACCTGTTCCAGAGTTCATTCAAACTCGCAGTGCCCTGAGTTGTTGACCCCGGGGTGACCTTATAATCCCTTTTCAGATCAGTGATTTCTCTGTTATATTTCAGGTGATCTCTAGGCTGACTTTTAGCAGTATGCATCACTTCTTTGTTTCCCAAATTTACATTGATGCGGAGGCTCTCTATCCTGGTATAATCCATCTTAGTTTTGTCCACACTTTGATAAGGAGGAGAAAGGCAAGACAGTTCTTTATGCTTGTCTGGGTGATGCTGAAAGAAATCTTTCCAAGAATGCCTCATGAAAACACCCCTTCCCAATGACTCATGACAAAAATCTTGATCACTTGGTAGGTGCACTGGATGATGAAAGTAAAACTGGGCTGACCTGAAGACAGAATGGGTAGTATTTTCAAATTCTGAATGACATCTAGATTCTGAAAAGCAGAAAAAGAAAAAATAGATTACTGAAAATCTTTAACATGTTTGCATTCCCTTTAGGAATACTATTCACACTTAGTTCTTTACATATACAACAAAGGTTGAAGGAAAGAATAGCTTATACAAACTTCCAGAAAACTCTTGGCCTGCACAAAAGTTTCATGTCCTGTGCTTGACAGCTGGAAAGCACGGTAAAAGTTTAAGGGGTTCGGGGCTGGACTCTGCCCATGAATGGCTTTGTGACCTCAAAGAAGCCACTTGAGTTCATAATAGCAGCTACTGTGTATTTACTGTCTGCTGTGTGGGAACTATGACATGTGTTCTCTATCTGCTTTTTTCTTTTTTAAATCTAATCCTGGTAAAACTCTGAAATAGTTTTTGTCAACTGCATTTGCAGCTAAGAAACTTCAGATCATTTTCATTAGCAGCAATTAAGTGGATGGGATTAAAAAACAAACAACTCTTTATGTTTAAGAACATTTTCAAATTCCTTTCCTGGGAACCATTTCACTTTTGGACAGTCATCACATCAGAAAAGTTATTTTTAGATGTAATAACATCTTACAATCACCTAACTGTGACTCTAATAGGGAATTAATATACTTTCTTGGAGTTCTAAGTCATGTGTGGAGCTCTGGTAGTGTAGTGCCGAAGACAATTGACTGCTAATCAGAAGAATGGCAGTTCAAACCCACCAGCCACTTCTCGGAAGAAAGGCTGGACAATCTACTTACATAGTGATACCACCTCGGAAACCCAAAGAGGGGTCGCTATGAGTCGGGTCTGACTTGACAGCACATAACAACAACAAAATCATGTGTAGAAACACATGGTATACGTGCAATAAAATGCCACCTATAAACTATGAAATTCCTTTCACCAAACACTGTAGACTATTGGTAACTTGAGTTTTCATTCAATCTTCCAAGATTTTCTATGGCAACTGCAGAGTACCATGGGATACATAGGATTGGCTTGCTCTGCTTTCCCAAGTACCCAAGAGTCTATAGTATTTTATAATTATCTAGCAACATTTAAGAACTGAAAGGTTTTGTTCAGTTTCTATAGGTACTTGTTTAGCTTCTATAGCTACCACATTAAACAAATAAATAATTAAGTTATGTTAAGGGCTACAAAGGGCAAAAACAAAATGCTGTGAGAATAGCAGTTAGAAAAGGTCTCTCTGAGGAGGCTGAAATGTGAAGCAAAAATGAGAGCTAAACCAGAAAGATGGCAGGTGAAGAACATTCAGAGAAGAGGGACTGTCACGCTTAAAGGCCCTGGGGGAATCCTTACCCACCTCTGCCAGTCCACCTGCACCTACTCCCTTTTCAGATACAGGAGTATAATCATCCCTCCTCCTTTCTCTAAAGGAAAGTCCCTCCACTGGTGCTCTGGAGCCCAACTTATCTTCCTTTCAAGGTCTTGGTTCCTTTCTCTATGATCTCCTTCCTGTATCTTCAGACTCTCTCTCTTTACTGGGTAATTTCTTTCTTTTTTTATTTCTTCAACTTTTATTGTGCTTTGGGTGAAAGTTTACAGAGCACATTAGTTTTACAATAAACAATATATAAACATTTTGTTTCATGACATGCAACATTTTTCTCAACGAAACTGCACTCTTCCCACTTCTTCCCCAGGTTCCCTGTTTCCATTCGTCCTTCTTTCCTGCCTCCTGAACTTTGTTTTTGGCCAAATGCTGCCCTGTTGGTATGAACCATGTTCTTCACAGGTGTTACTGTTCACTTTATAGGCCTGTCTATTGCTTGGCTGAAAAGTTCCAGATTTGAAGAGTCTAAGGGCCATAGTCTCCAGGGTTCTACCAGTCCCTATCAGACCAGTAATTCTGGTCTTTTTTACTTTTTTGAATTTTGTCCTACATTTTTCTTCTACTCTGTTTTGGACCTTATATCATGAATATGATCAGCAGTTGGTACTGGTAGCCTGGCACCATCTTGTTCTGGTCTCAGGCTGGTGGAGGCTGTGGACTAATTGTTTCCTTGAGTCTTTGATTTTTTTCATTCTTCTTTGCTCCAGATAAGGAGACCAATTGTTGTACTTTAGATGGCTACTCGCTGGCTTTTAAAACCCCAGTTGCTACTCACCAAAGTAGGATGTACAACATTGTGTTTGTGGACTATGTTATGCCCTGAGACTATAGTCCTAAGCCTCTAAGCCCAATGACTCAGTCCCTCAAAGTGTTGGTTCTGGCTAGGAAATGTTTGTGTCTTTGCCCCTTGGATACTCTGCATACACATACACGGATATATTTGTAGCACATACAAATATGTATGTAGAAATATCCTCTGTCAAAGTTTTATTTAAACTCATGAGTACACTCCCACACACCATTCCACACCTGTTCAGCTTTCATATTTAGCTATGTAGCCATTCATAAATCACTCCATGTTATTACTGTTATTGGAGGACTGTGCATGCAATAGTATTTACCATTATTGCTTTTTACTCTTGTGTACCTCCCAGTTTCTTCCTTTGCCTTGGTCATGTTATGTTGACCTCCCTCTTATTTACATTGCCTTCCTCTTCACTCAAATTAATAAATGTCTATTTCCCTCTTCCTCCCTCTCATCTCTGGTAACTATCAAAACATATTTCTATGTATAAACTATTTCTTGATTTTTTTTTTTTTTTATTAGGATTTGGGTGAAGATTTACAGAGTAAATTCACTTTTCATACAGCAGTTCACTTATACTTTGTCTCATGTCATTGACCAAAATTTACAATGCAGCAGCTCCCCTCCCACTTCCTCCCCATAGTTATCTCCTCCCAGTGTCCATCCCTTCATACTCTTCTGCACCCTGAGAGGCCCATTGTCTGCCAACCCTGTATATGATCTTGGATACACTCTCCATTTAGACATACATAATTGTTTAGCTTGTTCACCCATCTATCCGTCCCTATACCCATGTTTGCTTTCATTGACAACTCAGTATTGTATTTGCAAAGGGGTTCAGATTTGTTGTTTGTACTGCCCATGTAACTCTCTCTGTCTTTCTCATCCTCAATGCTGCCATATTGGTCACTCACATTTGGTACATTGCCCTTCTCTTCACCCAAATCAATATTTATCTCTATCTATCTAACAGCATTCCCTCCCCTTCCCTCCCACCCCTGGTAACCAACAAAGAAAATGTCCTCCAATATATAAACCTTTCCTTAACTTTCACAATAACTATTTCTTGATTTTTAATAGTAGTGATCTCATACAATATTTATCCTTTTGTGATTGACTTATTTCACTCAGCAGAATGTCCTCCAGATTCATCTATGTAATAAGATGTTCGTGGATTTATCGTGATTCTTTAACATTGCATAGTACGGGCATACCTTGGAGATACTGCAGGTTTGGTTTCAGACCATCACAATAAAGTAACTACTGTAATAAAGTGAGTTACACTAATTTTTTGGTTTACCAGTACATATAAAAGTTATGTCTACACTATATTGTTGGCTATTAATTATGCAATAACATTATCAAAAAGTTTGAAGTATTTTGAAAATTACCAAAATGTGACACAGACACAAAGTGAGCACATGCTGTTGGAAAAATGGCACTGACAGAGTTGCCACAAACCTTCAATTTGTAAAAAAAAAAAAAAAAAAAAGAGCAGTATCTATAAAGTGCAATAAAGCAAAGTACAATAAAGAGGTATGACTGTAATCGACTGTGTAAATGTACCATAGTTTGTTTATCCACTCATCCATTATTGTGTACTTGTTTCCACCTTTTTGCTACTGTGAACAGTGCAGCATTGAACATGGGTATGCATTTATCTATTTGTGTCACAGCCTCTTACTGCTCTAGAATATATGCCTAGTAGTGGGGTTGCTGGATCATACACTATCTCTATTTAGAAGTTTTTAAGGAAGCATCAAATTATTTTCCACAGTGGTTGTATTATTTTATAATCTCACCAGCAGTATATGAAAGCCCCAATCTCTCCACACCCTCATCAGCGCTTTTTGTTTTTTGGCATTGTTTATTGTTGGGGGGATAATACCTTTCAAGCTATTTTCCTTAGAGCCTATTATCATCCTAAAATAATATGGATCAGATACTTCAGATTTTAACCAGGCCAACCCTTCTGCCCCTTTTTAGTTTCCAGTTGCCATTTTATTTCTTGTGTAATTTATTTATGAACATTTTATTGTGGTTGGGGTGAAAGTTTACAGAGCAAAGTTTAGTTTCTCATTCAACAATTTATTCTATACATTTTTGTTTTATATCATTATAGCTTCAATCTCCTCAATGTAATAGCACTCATTCCACTTTCTCTATGGGTTCCCTGTTTCCATTCAGCCATCTTTCTTGCCCCTTCCTGCCTTCTGAACCTCTTCTTCAGGCAAATGCTGCCCTTTTGGTCTTGGATGGTTAATTGTTCTGGGGCCCATGTCTTCATGGCTGTTACTGTTCACTTTATAGGCCTGTCGATTGTTGGGAGGAAAGGTGGTCTCCAGGTGGGTTCAGTTCCAGGTTTGAACAATGTCTAAGGGAGCTCTGGTAGCATAGTGCCTAAAGTATCTGACTGCTAACCAGAAGGCTGGTGGTTCAAATCCACCAGCCACTCCTCGGAAGGAAGGTTGGGCAATCTACTTCCATAGTGATACTGCCTCGGAAACCCAAGGAGGGGTTGCTATGAGTTGGGTCCGACTTGAGGGCACATAACAACAACAACAACAAAAACAACAACAAAAAGGGCCATAGTCTCAGGGGTTTCACTGTTCTCTGTAAGACCAGTAAGTCTGGCCTACTTTATGATTTTGAATTTTGTTCTACATTTTCTCCCACTCTGTCCAGAATTTGTTATTGTGATCCTGATCAGAGTGGTCAGTAGTGGCAACTAGGCACCATCCAGTTGTTCTGGTTTCAGGCAAGCGGAGGCTGTGGTTCTTGTGGTCCATTAGTCTTTTGACTAACTGTTTCACTGATGTGGTGATATTCTTCATTCTATTTTGCTCCAGATGGGAAGAGAC